TCGTCGAGGCAAACCCCGACGCACTGAAGCAGATTGTGCCTTTCCTCGAAAAGCTCATCGCGAGTCCCGGGACGGACGATGCCAAAGCGGCAGCAGCAAGCCGGCAGTCTCTCGCCGGTCTCCTCTTGTCCATCGTGAGATCCCGAGCTTCGGCCAGCGACGAGACTCAGGACGGTTTGCAGGCAGTCCTGGAGCAGATTCTGTTCACTTTCGTGCGGTTCGGCTATTTCATGCCCAAGGACGATGCGGCTATCCAGCCGGCCTTGACTGAACAGAGCCAGGAGCTTTTCCGGAACAGGATCAGCTCCTGTCTGAACAGTCTTATCGCCAACCCAAAGTATGCGACGACCCTCCCATACGCTGTCGTAAAGAAGATCCGTGACGCCGCCAAGTCGGAGGAGTATGGCAAGTTTATTATCAACATGGATGAGACTCTGCGTAACTCGGTCAAGACTGCTTTCAAGTCTTTGAAGAAGCTGTCCAGCATGGTGAGTAATCTGACGTTTCCGACAGTTACTTTTTACTGACTAAAAAATAGGAAAAGAATGAGGTCTCGGGCGTTGAGGCGTTCAAGCTTCTGTATTCGATGACAATCCTGCAAGTGTACAACGGCGATGCCGATGCGGTGTCCATGCTTGACGAGCTTGATTTCTGCTACACCAAGTTCTTGGGCGACAAGAAATCAAAAGACGACGACGCGTCCGATGCTTCTGACGCGCTGGTGGAGATTCTTCTGAGTTTCGCGTCCAAGCAGTCGCAACTCTTCCGCCGTATGAGTGAGCAGGTTTTCAGCGCTTTTGCCGACAAGGTCACCGAGAACGGCCTGGAGTCTCTTGTATCTGTATGTCCGCTTCTTCCTGAGATCAAGTTCCAGTGCTAACCACTTATCAGATTCTGGAAGCGAAGGAAAGTCTTGCTGGCCAGCAAGAAATGTTCGAGCAGCAGGATGACGAAGAGGACGAAGAAATGATGGATGTCGACGAAGACGACAGTGACGTCGAAGTCATCGACGCAGAGAATTCCGGCGAAGACGAAGACGAGGAGGAGGACGAAGAAGCCGCGTCCGACGAAGGCGAAAACGAAGAAGAAATGGCCGCCTTCGAAGCCAAGCTCGCCGAAGCCCTCGGCACGCACCGCGCCGACCAAGACCTCAACGAACAGTCCGAGGACTCCGACGCGGACATGAACGACGACGAGATGGAGCAGATCGACGAGCAGCTGATCAAGGTGTTCCGCGCGCGCCGCGACGCCCTGGGCCAGAAGAAGGACAAGAAAGACGCCAAGGAGAACATGGTTAACTTCAAGAACCGCGTGCTCGACCTGCTGGAGATCTACGTCAAGAAATGCCACTCGAAGGTTCTCGCTCTTGACCTCCTGCTCCCGCTGCTGCGTCTGACCCGCAAGTCGACCGTCAAGCAGCTTGCCAACAAGGCGAGCGGTGTGCTACGCGAGTATACCAAGTTGTGCAAGGGCAACGCGCTTCCGTCGCTGGACTCTGCCGAGCCGGTGTGGGAACTGTTGAAGTCCATCCACGCCGAGGCGACGCATAGTGGTCCGCCTGCGCATGCTTCGGCCTGCAGCCAGGCGAGCTTGCTGGTGGTCAAGGTGCTGGTGGCACACGACAAGAACGCCATTGCGGATGTGGTGGATGTGTATGCGGCTACGCGCAAGGAGCAGCTTCTCAGCAAGAAGTGTCATGTCCAGCCGCAGTTTTTCTCCGACTGGAACAACTGGTGTGTTTCTGCCAGTAAGCAGATGAAGAATTAGTTAGCTACTTAGATACCTTCATGCAATAGTGTACAGTACATATATGAAATACTTGATCTGTGGATGTTGCCAATGTTTGCTACCTCAGAACCCTTTAATATACCGGTGCTGCGTCGTCTCCTCCAACACCTCCAGCTTCATCCCCACCTCAACAACCCCCTCATTCCGCGGCGCACTCAACATCCCAAAACAAGGCTTATACTTCATCCCTTCATCCACCCGCCGATACGCCATCAGCGTATCCCACGGCTCCCGCTTATGCTTCTCCGCCGTATCGGGATCAACATTCGGCACCTGGCACCGCGCACAGCGCGCCACGACGTCCAAGTCCAGCGGCTCTTGCCCACAGCCACTAATCCGGACCGTCTTCCACGAATCCTCCGCCCAAGGCACCGTGCCCCGGACGATGATATTCGGCCGGAACCGCTCAACGGTAATCGGCTGCGCACCGTTCCGCCGCAACCTCTGGTTCAGCTCCGTCAGGGACGCCTCGGAGGCAATCTGCACGGGATGCACGTCAGGGAAGTTTGTGCTTTGCTGCCGGCCGAGCAGGCGTGGGTCGCCGTTGCCCTGCAGGATGCGCGGCGTGGGACCCTTGTAAACTAGACAGACATCGCGCTGCAGGAACCTGGTGAACGGGGCGTTGACGGCCTGCCCGTAGAGGTAGCCGTCTGTCAGCGTGTCCCAGACCTTGACCTGGGCGAGGGTCGTGTGGGCCGCTAGCCAGGCGGGGTCTGGGCGGGCGGGGATTTGGATCTTCTCGTCGGACCCGGTGATGCTCAGCAGGAGGGAGGTGCCGTCGTCGCTGAGGGCGGTGTTGATCAGAGTCATTTGGGGGATTTGGCGGATGGTGAGGAACTCGTGGGTTTTGGCGTCTACGAACATCCATTGGCGGTCGAGGTCTAGGCCGTGTAGGCGGAGGGTGGTTTTGGAGAGTTCAATCCCGCGGCAGGACTTGATGGGGTAGATGCGTAGAGAGACGATCTCGCTGCTGGTCTCCTTTTGGAGTCTGAGGGCTTGTAGCAGACTGGATTTGTTGGTGCTTGCCCAGTTTATGACTTTTCGGGTGAGGACCACGAGGAGCACCCCGAGGGCGGCTACTGGGAGGACTTTAGAGGAGAAGTCCATCTTCAACTGCCTTGTTGACTAGCAGTCATTCAGATACTCGAGTCTTCCACGGTTCGACCTCTGTTCTTATGCTGCGTAGAGATATCTAGATGTCCACGGATTGATAAGCAAATACGGAATACAAAATTCTGCCGGAATATGCCGCCTTTTATCTTATCATCTCGATGAGTCAGGTCATGCATGCTTGGCCGTTAACATTGCTGATAATATCGAAGCTCTATCGTTCGTCCTAGTGGACCACAGTCATGTAATGGCAGGAACAAAAATAGTTTAAGCATTCGTTGGGTGAGCTCGACCATTCGGATGGATGTAATCGTGAACCTCGGCTGATTACCGAAGAAATATTAGTAAACTATCAATGATTAAGTTAGATCCAAAACTAGATGTGGTCATCATCTAGTCGTCCAGGCTATGCGTATAAGTCATGCAAATGATGAATGTACTAATCCCGTATCACCATGCATTTACATCGTCCTGTTCACCCAGCATGTGATTAGAGCCTTGATTAATGCAATGGTAACCTCTCGCCCGGTCTGGATAGCTTGATCATTATGGCCACCAGGGACGTGCAAGAATGCCACATTCCGGTCCTGGCCTTGTTTAAAGGCATGCGCCAGACTGGTGTAGAAGATGAATTCGCAGAGATAACGTCCCGCATCTTCTGAGAGCCGGACGTCGGCCCCCGCAGCAAATGACTTCCATACGTTGAGGAGTTTGTCGTCCGGTGGATGTGGATTCCAGGAAGACTGTACAGCTTGCGACGATGGAGTTACCACTTGATCATGTGTCTTTTCTGTAATGTCCGAGATAGACAGGGGATCGGTGGATCTGCCCGCCCGCAGCACAGGAGGCAGGTCAAGCTCTCTCCATCGTTTCTCTCCAGCTTCGTAACCCGAGCGCCCTTCGATATCCGACATAAGATACGAGTCTCGGTGTGCCTTTGTCTCGACGGAGTAGTATTGTCTTGTTGCTGCTATGCCCATGTGGATGACAATATCTGGTCGTTGACCGCCGTGTGATTTGGCATAATCATCGACTATGGAAGGGACGGTTGATTGGACCGTCGAATAAGCGACGGGGATAGGGTTCGGATGGACATGGATGAATACTCGATGAGTCGTAGTGGGTCCCTCTGGGGATGCGGATGAACTTTGGGAAACAGTGAAGGTGAACGAAGGAGGAAGGGATGAGGCGATCAGGAACGAGGCATTGACGAGGTTAGTCTTGAACGGCTAGTGGCTAGTCAGTATGAGCTTGCACTTGTGACAAAGGGTAAAGTGAGAGGAAAACTGAAGCTGCCGGACGAGCTTACACCAAACCCAGTGACAAGAACGTTGATATCATCCGAGTCCGCAGAAGATAGTGAAGGATGCCCCGCAAGTTGAGTGTGGATGGGTGGGACAGCTGGTCCGCAGTCACCCATGATGATAACAGATAGTGCTAACTGCTAATGGAGGAGTGTGATCAGAATGTGTCAACTAAGACACCTAAAAATCTTATTCCTCTGGTAATCAATAACATTCAGAGCTTCAGTCCAACCCCCTCAGAGCAGCGTGGATATATGAAATTGGCTCTCAAGAAGGGGACATGTTCTCCGAGGTCATATGTACATACCATTTGGAGGTGGTCCTTGTCCTTATCTCTCTTCCGGGGACCCCGCATACCTTACTAAACGGGTTAAGTGGATCTTGGCGTCACGGGATCCCCACTAACCTTTCCGTCCTATATTCTGGCCTGAGGCCTGAATCTGGGGTCCTCTTATTCTTGATATCTCAGGTTGTTCTTGCAATGAGCAGGAAACACCTTGATACCTAATTTATGGTGCAACGAGTTTGCTGGTGCTGACATGCCTGTTCTGTTTATGCAGATAATTCACTAACAGCTGCAGTTTCCAAGAGTGAATATCCAGTCATAGAGATGAGCATCAGCGTTCACATTACTTGACATAAGAGAGTGAATAAAAACAACTTACATCTCCTTCTTGTACTTTATAGTCCATGTTCTCTTCTCGTCTCCAGTATCTCATACACTCAAATTGTGGAATCAGACTAAATGGGACTTACCAGCAAAACAGATGATCCTCAGGGACCTTATCACCACCACTGATGTACTATACCCTTTCATATCCTATAGCAAGTGACTTCCAGTCAATTTCCAAAAGCCTGGTCGGAATTCCCGAGCGGCAGAGTGAGACTATCAACGACAGCTCGTTCCGCCCGGTTCCTTGTGAACTAATGGAACCAATGGGCGAAGTTTCAATCGTGTATGTGCGAATACAGAGAGGAACGAAAGCCATGAAAACCAGTCACTCAAAGTACCTCATCTCCCAATTACCCATCGTCAACAAGGCCACCAACGCGGATATCGAGGAAGTGGCCAAACCTGGTGACAACGACGCATTCAATATGGGATACATGACCCACATTGGCCAGACCTCCATCCAACACAAGATCAATTCAATGTGGAACAATTGATGCCTTCCAAATGGAAACTCTGACTACCCTGGGCCAGAACCCCGCGCAACACAAGGCCCCTTTTGACCACAGAGTACCGAGAAATCCAGTTACTGAAGGTACCCATGGTGTCAAAAACGGAAACTATAGCTGCTACCTGGGAGATCAATACAGAAGAAGACAAGATACGCAATTGAATCAGTTCAATTGCTCATATACAGCAAAAAGCTTACAACTACTATCGACACAATACAACATAGTAGACGCATCAAAACGACAACGAAGAATGCTCAAGAGAACACGCGAGGCTAGTACTGCAAAGGAGAAAGGGCCTCACTAGGGGTCATAATTGGGACAAGGCAACAACAGGAACATGGTTGTACGCCTTGAAACAGGGCCGAATACTACACCCTGGACTGGAACGGAATGCCTGTTCTTGCTGAGCGACATGTCATCTTCCCAGCGCCGCCTCCACACCAGGCTCAAACGCAGACGTTGAGCCTGACCCGAAGGATCCTTTTCGGTGATGCCATGGCCGCAGGAGCAAAGTCCCTATGATATGTTTCCTTTTCGTTTCGAAGACCGTCGAGGTATTGCAAGGCGCTGTCTCGCTGACGAAGGGCTTGTGCCGGCATAGATGGGAAGTAAAGCCTGTTGAACATGCTGCTGCACTATCATTTCTACTAGCTAGGAATTGTTACCTTAACGTCTTTTTTGGGTTCGGTGGATTGAGTGCATTCAACAAAGTCTGCTTTGCTCTCTCCTCTTTCGAATAGACGATATAGACCTATAACAAGGAAATCCGATATGACTTTTGAGATACCTTTGGCACTCTATAGTTTACTTCACTGTACACGGGGACACTATCTAGCAGCCGGCATCGGTTCACCTCAGGTAGCAGTAATAATTGATACAACGCGGAAGCCAGGTCTACCAGGAGAATCTACCGACATAGATCTGAAGAAGTAGACAGTTACTCCTGTATCCTAAGGCCCTCGCAAGCACCTAAGTTAAGCGCCTGCCTGCCTAGCCGTACAGGCTGTGATGGCACCTAAGCAGGTAACACCGTGCAGGGTTGATATATACATAGGGAAGCGATTATCTACACCCCAAGGATAACAGCACACCCTCCTGGATTCGAGATACTGTAGGTTCGCAAACAGGTAGAGAGATAATTTTCGGTCGCATGATACTCTATCTGCGGGAGGATGCAGTAGGGCAGCAGGGCTTATTTGTATCTAGAACCTAGGTGCTGTTATGCAAGTCTCAGCAAGGATAGTACAACATGTATACTCAGCAGTATGATAGGCTATGTATTAGTCAGTGAAGTCAATGAATCCTCATTGATTCTAAGGCTCCTTCCCAGCCTCCGGGGATGAATGTATGGAGAGTCCTGCCATACATCGGCTGCGCATAAGGATTCGCAGTACTACGATGGTAGAGCTAGTGTGAGACAAGATAGTGGCTGTAAAGATGGGACTTAACATAGAAGGATAAAAGAGAATATGATAATATATAGAGCTATCTAAGAGCAGAGAAAGAAATGAGATGAAGGGGGATCTGTTCGTTCATCGAGTTTGAGGATAACGATAGATATAAGCTATAGGCATACCCTTTTACAAAATTGTTGTATCCTAAGAGGCGAGGCCATGGGTCTAACCTCAAGCCACAGCAAAAGAGAGACCACGAGATATCTATCTGCTGAGACATAGGTCCGACCGTCCGATCCAGCGCTGGGGGTTGCAATAACCCTAGTTATCTTGCCAGTTGCTAGCGGTCACGTTCGAAGCGAGTCTCGAAAGGGTAAACGCTCATCAAAGTCCTAGTCCATCACCTACACCCGTCTACACTTGATTCCGTCAATCTGAAACCGGACTTATGAGACCAAGGCGGGTCGTCGTATTGCGTATAGGACAGCCGTTACTTCGCTTAAGGTCAGATCGACAACCAGAGGATAACTTCAGCCAATTACGGGTTGCTGATTCCTCCTCCTCGAGCCAACGAGTATAGGAACCTTTCGGTACCCGTCTCCATGAACCACATCTGACTGACGATTGGGCAGAATGGCTTTTGGATTGAACGTCGCGGCCCACCTTGAATGCCGCGATCAAGAAACCCATCTGCAGCTAAAGCAGCGAATTTCCCTATTGGGATAAACGTCCAGATTGAACTCGTGCGCGGACACCGCGGGGATTTCCCTAGTGTCATGCTCGCATATATCTCTGAATTGTAGAACTGACCTGCCGGATATTAACGATGAGACGGAAGCTGAGGCGATGCAATGATCTCGCCACAGACAGGTCAGTGCAACGGTTAAAGGCTGATGTCGTATCCGACGTATTCTGTGAATGAGTCCCCGCACGGAACTACAGATACCCGTGCATCCAAGTAGAGGCAACTCTGCTTTGTATAGGGCCTATATAGGTCAGTGAAGGCAGCGGGGTTTCATATATACCTCACCACTGTAGTGGCGTGGTCATTTTCTTTTGTCCTTTCTGCTGCACCACTGATCCCAAAAAGCAATCAACAATCAACATGGCATTGATCTCCGAGTTGCTCCAAAGCCCATACTTTCTCCAAGGCATCGCTGTGTCCTTGCTTTTGGTGGTTGTGTCGAACTTTTATCGGGAGCTTGTGGATGGCTTTCCCTACCGGAACATACCCCTTGTTGGGAGGAGCAGATGGGAAATCACCAACAGCAAAGCCAAAGAGCGCTTCGTGGCGTCCGCGAAAGACCTCTTTGCGCAGGGCTTCAGTCAGGTATGAGCATGTGTCCTGCTCCATAGGTGCGAGGAGCTAACATTGGGTTAGGGCAGGACTGTCTTTCAAATGATGTTCTCTCACTCTCCCATGATCGTCCTGCACCCGCGGTACCTGGATGAGATCAAGAGCCATCCGCGTCTGTCCTTCGACGAAGCTAATAAGAAGGTGAGAGTCTAACGCAGCCAAAAAGTGAAGTTGTGCTGACAATGCAGGCCTTTTTTGGCGCCAAGATTCCCGGATTCGAGCCTTTTGAAGGACTGGACAAGGAAAACATCGCCTTGGATGTCATCAACAAAAAGCTAACTCATACACTTGGTATGTGACGTTGGTGTGTGGTGCAGAGGTGCCTCTTGCTCACTGACCGACTGTGCAGGTAGCCTTACCACCCCTCTTTCCAGAGAGTCCGCGGCTGTGCTCAAGGAGACATTGCCTCCGAAACCTGATGGTTTGTCCTTCCCGTAGGCACATTTTGCCCTTTCTGACATGACAGCAGAATGGCAATCCCTGGTCTTCGCTCAGGAGATTCCGTACGTAGTTGCCCGATTGTCGTCCCTTGTATTTATGGGTGAGAAGGTCTGCCGTGACAAGGAATGGCTGCATGTGTCCGTCAACTACACTATCGACACATTCGTCGCTGCGCGCGATCTCAGACTCTGGCCCTCGATTACGCAATCTCTGGTGCACTGGTTCCTGCCGTCAACGCGAAGAGTCCGGAAGCACATTAGCGTCGCGAAGAAGATCGTGCAGGAGGAGATTGAAAAGCGAGAACTGATCCGACAAGGCAAGCTCCCGGAAGAGAATCCTGCAAAGACCGACGATGCCCTCGACTGGTTCAGAGAAGTTGCTGCCGGCCGCCCTTATGACATGACGAAAAGCCAGATCGGTCTCTCTCTGGCAGCGATCCACACCACTTCTAACCTGTTGACGAACGTCATGTACGACTTGATAGCCTACCAGGAATACATCCAACCCCTCCGGGACGAGATTGTTGCCGTCGTGAAGGAGGACGGATATCTGAAGAAGACCAGCCTTACCAAGCTGAAGCTGATGGATAGCTTTATGAAGGAGACCCAGCGGCTGAACCCTGTCAGCATTGGTAAGTGATTGCTATCTGCGGAGCTCCTGGGCCCGTAGCGCTGACTCTTCCAGCCTCCCTCCAGCGTTACGCAATGGCAGACATCACTCTGTCCGATGGCACCTTTATTCCCAAGGGAGCAATGCTCACCATCTCCGCCCACACCATGAAAGATGAATCCATCTACCCCCACGCGGACACCTTCGACGGCTACCGCTTCTACAACAAACGCAAAGTGCCCGGCAATGAGCACCGATACCAGTTCGTCACGACGAGCAACGAGCATTTTGCCTTTGGACACGGCCTGCACGCGTGTCCCGGACGCTTCTTCGCCGCGAACGAGGTCAAAATCCTCCTAATCCATCTGCTGTTGAAATACGACTGGAAGTTCGCAGAGGACCACGGCCGTCCCCAGCCGTTCATGCACGGCACCGAGATCATCTGCGACCCGACCGTGAAGCTGCTTTACAAGGCACGAACACCGGAGATCGATCTATCGAAGCTGGGAGAGTTGCCAACGGATTGTTAGTCAGTCTAGTGGAGAGCATGGCAGAACCATATGTATGGTACTCCCGTACGAGGTATGGCAACACGCACATATCTTGTCTTATATCATGTCCTACCTACTACCTGTACATAAGCCACGTACGACGACATACCACACTCACTGTTCTTGCGGTGCTGTTGGAAACTGCAGCTGAACCTGTTTTCATGACTCGGCAGAGACCACAACACATCATCTCATGTAAGGATTTGATTCTCAACAGACGCACGTAGCAAGGAAAACATTCTTTACTACCCACGCAGTAGCACGTTCAATTCGTCCACTCCAAATCAACATAACTTCTGATCACTCTGTGATCGACTGCTGTTTCGTTCCTACTCAGCTGGATACCATTATCAACCGGATAAAAGTAAAATCCCAAACTCAATTAAGCCCATATCCATGATTTCATGCGCGACCTGAATCACTGCAGCTTCGTGCTACAGCACGTCAGCAGTCAGCATGACTCGATGCCGAGGTACATGCGCGTATGCAGTCAGTCGCCAATGGTGGACGCAAGGGAATAGCAGGATCATGCAGGTAAATGAATCTTTTCTCCATAGTAAACAAAAACAAGGTTGATGTTGATGGTTGATGTCAACTACAGTACTACCATTTATCTCCAATACGCTACAGTCATGGACCCTGAAAGTCTAGGTTTGTCCCGAGCAGCTCGTTCCATGGAAATATAGAGCACGGATCTCAGGTTCAGCAGATCAGAGCTGGGTCTTTCCGACTCCCGAGATCCTTAAAATAAGCCGAGGAGGGAACAAAGATATCAGATTCAGGATCTAGTGTAGCTCTAGCTCTAGCTCTGGCTGGCCCATGTCCATGATTCAGGCCAAGTACGGAGTCTCCGTACTCCGTATGGGGGTCTTTGTTCCAGATTTAGAATGGAATCTTTGTAGTCTGTCTGCAGCTCCAGCCTCCACGAAACACGACCTGGGACTAAAAGAAACCCACTTCTCGGTAGCAGTAGCAAATGCTTTGATGTCCAGATTGATAAGTTGCTCTTTTCTTTTTTACAATTGTGGACACCATCGACGGTGCATCATACCGTAATTTACGACGCGCGCGGATACGCGTAGTAGACGCGTCCAGACGCGTTATTTACCCCTCCTTGACGCGTTGGTCTGAGCCGTCCGATAAGCGAGTGATAGTGATAGCCTCAAGGTCCTCCCGCAGAGAGGCAATGAACAAAGACTACTGCAATTCTTTGTTGATTGTCCACATCAATGAAGCTCTGCTCTTTGTGGTAGTTTATTTCGACTTCAGTTGACCATCGTATACTCCTTACCAAAAGATACTGATGACTGCAGGGTAGAAAAGGAAGTAAGATTGCTACCTAGCTTGTGAGGCGGCTAGTCACGTTTCTGTCTCCGTCGCTGTAAGTACGTGGAGTCTGGCAGTTAGTGACTAATGCACGTTCAGCCCGTGTTCACGTCGTGGTTCGTCCGTCTGGTGGTGGAGAAACCGCTTCTGCAGGAGACTGGAGTCTAACTTTCGAATTTTCTGAAAGTTTGAAACGAACCCAGCGCTAGAAGGGCTTGAATCGGGAAGGTTGAAACTGTCTTTTTCCTTGGGATCTTGGGCCTGGCGGTATGAGCCGGAGGTCTCTCCCAGCCACCGGATTTTCACTTCATTAGTGATCTGGGCTGGAATACCTCTTAGACCGCTCAATTGGATACTGTTCTGCACGGAGTGCAAGAGTTAAGGTCATCAGTTGGGTTGGTGTACCGATCCATGTTTTCAGTCGGCTCTCAAGGTCATATGGTTGAAAGACGTTGATGATTCACCCGCATCCCGCGTGCATCCTAATATTAATAGTGGCACCCTTGCAGTTAAAGCAGTAAATGAATCAGCAAATAGTGATTGCAGCCTTCGCGGGGTCCAAAAGTCACAGGAGGACCAAGCCATCACACCAGAATTAGCAAACTTAGGAGCAATTCGACTGGCTTAGTGGGAAAAATACTCCATCAGGACAACCGCCATTTGTCGAGCAGGGGTAATTTCTCAGATTTTCGGCCCTCCGACCGTCCATAGAGCATTGTCGGGTGCGGTGAGGGCGGTTCTGAAATGCTGACCGACTGATCTTTCGGATATAAGACAGTCCAATGACTGATTTTAAATGTCTCCATTCCGGTAGAACTATGGAGAACTACGGATAGTACAAGTCAGTCTTCTAGCGTAGAAGAGTCAGAACATACCACGTTTGCAAGACAGAATCAAGGAGATACGATAAATAGAAATCATATGAACATGAAGTCGAGACATCAACTGCAAAACACCAATCACGAGACGATTCTCTGCATTCCAGAGAAGGCAGGATGATGTTGTTGATGATGTCTGAGGATCATGTTATGGTGCCGCATACCTGACACCACATAGATAGATAGAACAGCAGAACAACAGCAGGAACATCTTTCTCTCTGATCTTCAAGATCATCAATTCATCTTTTAGGAGCATTATCCTTGACGTGTTCATTATTTCTTAAGTGTATCCCGAGCGATTGATTGATTGATTTTGCAAGAGTGGAACCACTACTGCTGAGGCCCTGGCCTGCACCTAACCACTGTGAACCTGAGGCGTCGCTTGCGTTTCCCCTAAGCTAGCTTAGGTACATACCTTAGGTACTGCTGTTAGTCCTCTCTACTTTGTACTGCGGTGCCTTAGGGGGATACTGCGACGTTTGGTATTATTACCGCTTACCAGCCCTCGCCTACTTACTACTACTCTTCTCTCTCCGATTCTCTCCCTCACTTTTCCTTCCTGCAACCCCCTACTGCTGATTCTACCTGCGAGCACATTGCTCGCATCATTCCCATCTCTTCGTACCTTTCCTTTTCCTTGCTTTTCTTTTGTGTTGGTCTGGCGTTTTTGTGTGTCCCCTTTCGGGTGTAAATGACGACTTCGCTCTCCATTACGTGCCAAATGCCCAATGGACCGCGGGAACCATTCGATGTGATACTACTACTACCGCCATTGCTACCACAGCTGCTACCAACGAGCTTGAGTCGCAACCAACTTCTCGTGCGTATTATCGCATCAGCTTAACCCTTGCACACAAATTCGATCGCTTTTCCTTACACCGACCACTCACACCTTGACGAGCTTCATCTCCTTTTTTTTTTTTTTTTTGTTCTGTTGCTTTGCCTAACGACTTACGAAACCCTCCTGCACCGCCCACTGTTGACCGAAGACGTTCAACAATTGATCGAAACGGATCTTACATTCGACTCCGATTGTATTTGCGCTTCTGCTAGATTTACTGTTCCTCGGAATAGTATCGCGCAGCAATTGAGAGTGAGAAGCAGTCTGCGACGATTCCGAAGCCCGCGCCTGCGGTCCGACACTCAGAAAGACTTGATAACGCATTCGCGCAAGCGCAATGATATTCGCTTAGGGGTACCGATCAGAAATAAAAGAGGATACAAACGACAACCGTTGTTCTATTCTATTGGTCGTACTGCAAAGCGACCCCGACACCCACGCCATGGCTTACCGACAGCATGGGCTGTCGCGCACCTTGCCGAAGAACTTCACCTTCTATTCCGCAGGCACCGAAGAGCCTCGGACGCCTGAACGTGCATCCATTCATGTGGACGGACCACCTCCACCTCCCCGCCATTCGAGTTGCCGCTTACGAAGATCGCGCATTCGCTCGGGGACCGACCTCTTCGCGCAGGCAGAGTACGATCGCACCACGCTTACCGCCAACCCATCGGACATCCCACTGCCTTCTATTGAGTTACCTCCGTCGCATGACGCTTCTATAGCTCAGTCATACCCTGGATCCATTGCCAAAGATGATCGCTTCCTGGCGCCTCCTCGTGACCGAATGGCCCTGAAGACACCCCCGGCCCAGATCCGCGGCAGTCCATCTGAACCCAACGACGGATGGTCTTCGTGGGACTCTCAAGCTATTGGGCAGTCGCTGCAGCGCCCTGGGTCTGCCTGTTCCCAGGCATCTGACTCCTCAATTTCCTCATGTGAGACTTTATCTTCGCGGCGTTCCGTGGGTGGAAGTTGCACCAGCGCAGAAAGTGACAGTTATGATCCCTTCTTCTATCTCGAGATTCCGCCGAAGCAGATGGCGGAAAAGCCATCCGTGCCTACGGCGAACCACAAGAGAACAAATCGCGGCTTTCCCAAGAGAGAACGGTGGACTCTGGATATGGACAACCACCTCTGGAATACTTATCAGCTATACATACAAGATCCGACCATCACCCCTTTCAAAATGACACCTGGTAGTATTCCCCCGCTCGGTGTTACACACCGGGTTGCTAGAGAGGCCAAGAGATCGTGGGAAAGGAAGCGATACAGGCTTGCACGACCTTTCACATCCTCCATACACCAACCGCAACAACCACAGAGCGGCGAAACGACACCAACACCACGGACAGAATCTCCAAAGACTACCTGGCCCAAGACTGAAGCCTCGACTAGGCGTCGTCTGAAGCTTCTTTGCAAGCGCAAATTTTCAATCGCGCCTCATTACCAGAGGCTCATGCAGTCCCGCAGCCCCACTCCGTTCCTGGATTTGTTCTCGCGGCCTTCGCACGAGGAGCACCCTCTAGACAGCCCTGGAAACAGCTCAACTACTTATGCCACTCGTGATCTGGGTGTCTCCCTGGTCTCTAGCTCTGTGCCTGGACCTCTTTCACAGCTTGCAGCCGAGCACCATTCTCCGCAAACTACAGCGTACGACTGGCCGCCAAGTCAAGCAGTGCCTTGCGCGCCACAGACCAGTTGTGCAAGACCGATTGCGAAAACAACACAGCTCCATGCAGAACATCCGGGGTCTACCCCGCGCCTTGGGTCTCCATTTACATACCACACCTGGGGCCCGACCAATTCAAGAAAGAGAACTTCCAGGCATACGCCCAGGACCAGGCGAGAGACAATACACGTGACCGGGTCCCGGTTGTGCTCTCCTCCACGCACGGAAGTCTTACCAGCTACCGACGACAGCAACATCGTATATTCTGTGCCACGGCCTGCTGAAGTGTCGTCAGATCACGAGACCGAGGACCATCTGGAGACTCTGATCCGGGACGGCAAGTTGAGTGACATTGGTAATCGTCGCCTGCGGATCCGAAATCGTGGAGCAACAACAAGCTCCATCACTCCTCAAAACCTGGACCAGTTCTTCTCTCCACCCTCGTCTGCGTCCCGAAACGAGGAAACGACACCTGTTGAGAAAGCCCTACCCAACCCTCTGTTGGACTTGAGCGGGGAGAACCTCAAGCGCCTCGGTTCTCCTTTCAAGGTGGATGCATCGAAACGCCACGAGGGACGCAGAATCAGGCACGTCCCCTCTTTGTCTGACCCTTTTGCGAGCGGACTTTTGCCCCAAATCAGACCCGTCAACCGAGGTGCTCCATCCAAGGACCAACAGAACATGACCTGTGCACTGCCTTATGACCCGACTGAGTAGGGCATATCCGATGCGGAAAGAATCCGCAGACAGATCTTGAATATGTCCTACTCGAGGCGACAATGCTAACCACCTTTGACGAGTCACTGGTGGCAGTGTCGGCACCGCGATCCTCTTTCATCTTGGAATCGACCTGGAATTCGATCCCAATGTACTAATGCCCTGGACGACTTTGGCCCTGACAAACAGTGATCAGGAGTATAACGACAGAAATGGTACTGACGATCTTGATGACAAAATGACTTATAAACCAGTTCGAGTCTGGTTTTTCTCCATTCTGATAGAAACGAGACGATAAAATCGAAAACGCCTTTTGACGAAAAAAATGAAAAAACGCACACCCCCAAAAGAAACACACATGGACATCCACATTGGATTTGCGCAGGTCGGACAACATGTCATATTGCGAACCTCTGTACGATGATTTTCAAGTCACAGTGACATTGCCTTGACTTTCTCCTACCGACATTCCGAACACAGCAGGATTGTCTTTTCCATTTTTCTATATCTCTGATTCGTTGATTATCTTCGTTACTCCCTGCATGACCGAGGTAGCCGCTTTGGATCAGATTGAGCATGGGTGGCACACGACATGCCACTACGCTCCTGATAGACTGGACAAAATTCTGAAGATGCCATGGCCCTTTACGTCAAGCACGACATTCATTGCACAAATTTCATTTCCTACTCTCTACCGACTCTTCGTCAGTCCTTGAATTCCGTCAAGAAAACTACAAAAATCCACGAAAAAAAAGATCAACCGGGAAATAGACCCTCCACTATCTTTAACTTTCCTTTCTTCACTCTTCTCTGTTTTCGCCGATTTCACATCATAAAACACGCAAGACATTCGTCTCGATCATGCCACCAATCTTCAATTCTATGGGCCACATCACCCGAGCTTTCTTCTTCACATATCTACCCTCTCATCTCAGACACAGACATGCTTGATGAAATGATACGGACGACCCGCAATGGACTTATTGACTGAAACGACCCACCTCACCTCATAGATGACACGATTCAATTCAAGCAAGCACAGCAAGCAAGCAAGCGTGTTCGTTCCTGTTCTGCCGTTGCAGCGTTTCAACGCACTTGATCTCGTTCAATTCATTCAGTTGGCTTACTTAGCTTCGTGGCTTCGTTGCTGCCTAGCTATTTAGTTGCATATGCATCTATGCATTTTTATTTTATGCTCTTTTCATCTTCTATTCTTTCTTCGATCTCTCATCAGATTATGAATTCGATTCATTTGATTTGACTGGTAGTGCTCAATCGTAGCCTAGGCTTACTGCTTGCGTTAGATTCAGATATCAGACTTCGACAGCGAGTGCCAATGTCTGCAATTTAATCAAGCCATCCATTTACTTTCTACTCGGAAGACTTGCTTAGACGTAAGCATGACTATGAACAATCCATTTGCGAAATAGGTAGAGTAGAAGTAAAGTATGATCAGGAATTAACCGGAATCTGAGATCCAACGCCAACGCTGCCGGAAAGGAGAAACAAAGGCAAAGAAAGGCAACAGGGTATAAGATGCGGGATCATAACCATCATTACAATAGGAGGGATAGGAGGTATCAATCAATCAACGAAAACAACAAGGCTGCTTAGCTCCGTTCCAATCTCTTCTTCTTTTCGGCAAAAACAGCCTCCAGCTTCCGGATTTGCAGACCAAGGCCTTTCTTCTCGGCGTTAGCGAGCAGCCAAGTTTCCATCTTCTCGCGCACATAGCGCATGGAATGAGTGACAGGGAGGATCGGCTGGTTCTCAGCGTTGAGGAGGTCCCGATCAGGGCCCGCGGCGTCGAGTTCCATGCGTGCCCAGCGCTCGGTACATGGGTTGAGTAGGAGGTCGAAAACGTCGGTCCAGATCTCGCGGTCCCAGTACCGTTTCAGCGACTCGCGGATGCGGTACGTCCGCACGGACGCCGAGCCGCCTTCGCTTTTCCGGACCGGAGTTGATTCAATGTATTTGCCGAAAAGCATGACGTGCACGGTTCCTGCGAGGCCGTACAGATCGATCTGGTGCGTCCAGGGCCGCATCTCGCGGATCTCATTGCATTCGTGTTCGCCGGTCTCCCAGTCGGCAATAAACTGGACTGAAGGCTGGAATGCTCGCATGTCTATACCGCGACCGAAATCGATGAGCGACAGGCCCTTGTTGCGCCAGCCGCACAGACCGCGGGGGGAGTAGTAGATCTCGCGGGGATCGGTGATCTCTTCTTCCAAGCCGATCAGAGAGGGTGCAGTGGCCTTGTCGTCGAAGCGAATGAGACAGTTGTCGGCTTTGATATCGCCGTGCAGGATGCCGCACGAATGAAGGGCCTCAACGGTCCGGAATAGTTCCACAGTGAAGAACATGGCAAGAGCCTCGTCCAGACCACCTTCTCCAGTGCCATTGGCCTTGATTGACTCGTTACGCATATGATTGACCAGATCCAAGAGTGTTCCCTGCCCGCGGTAATCTTCCACGAGAATGCTTTCCCCTTTGTACACGTGAAGCTCGTGGGCGCGGATGATACTATCAGTCACACGGGATAGCTCTGGTAATTGGCTTATGCGATCGTGAGCGATGCGAATCATGTAGAACTCCCATGCGTTCGGAGGCCCGACTTCCAGTTTGACCGCCTCGAAGCCATAACGGGAGTTACTGCGGGCTATCGCTTTTCTTCCGTTCGTAAATTGGGAATCTCGACTGCCATCGTCTGCGGGTTCGGTTTCCGAATCGGAGGACGGGCAGTTCTCGAGGCTATCGACGCTTTCCGCAAGGTACACTGGCGCATAAGCTCCGGCTCCAAGTTCTCGCCTGATGATATAACATCTCTGTGCTCCGGGTAGTTCGAGAATTGGCACATCAAAGGACGCTTCGTCACCGCTTCGAGGACGCTTGACATGCGTTTTGACAAACTTCTGGATCGCAGACGCATAGTGGCTTTCCACTTCAGGGTGACCATGGTACCCAGGGTGGGATGCAAGCGGCGGATCCACGGCGTGAAGAATGGTGTTGCGAATGCTCTTGTCTGTGGGATTACACTGGGCATCGTCGATAATAACCCGATGTTGTTGTTGTTCCTTCAAGGGCGACAGTATCTTAAGGCCGGATCGAGCTTTCTTCACCGTTGGACTCATCGCGACATCCTCAGAGAACACAGTGAGATTCTCGGTTTGCTGCGGTGTTGCACCAATCAGCGGAGTGGTAAAGAGGTTTCCCATCTGCGGTTTGGATGGTGTTTTGGTGTTGTACAGTGTGTTTCGAGCTGCTGTCATCGAAGGGAGAGAGTGCTCGGTTTGCTCCACGATCGGTGTCATAAAAGGTAGACGATTTTGTGCGACTACGGCTGGATCTCGATACGGACCATAAGGTGGATTATAGTCCTCTGGCATCTCAGGCACGAACCTTTCTCTCCTGCTTGTCTCTTCAGCGTCCAATGTGTTCTCATGGGGTGAGATGGGATCCACTCCCAGTGAATGCGTTGGGCCCTCTTTAGTGGAGAACTGAGTCCATTCACCGTCAACAACACTCTCAGCCTGCGTCTGGTCTTCAAAGTCCTCCTCAGCTTCATCCTCAGATCTGTGGAAAGTAGTGGTCTCGTCGCAGAAGTCACTGGAAGTGACGGAGATGCGACCAGTGCATGTGCTCTCACCAGCACTCGTGTAGTCGTCATCCTCAAAGTCACTACTATCTGCTACATTCTCTGTCTCTGCTTTGAGTGGCTGGTTGAAGATACTGTAGATCTCGTCGGTAGCAGCGCGAGTATGGATTGTCATTGTCGGCTCAGCCGTGCTCTTGCGCCGAATCTTGCCTCCTGTCGGAGAGTCGAACTTCATTTTGACTGGACAGTTCGCCAATGGTTAGTGAGGAATTCAAAATTGAGGGAACGAGAATGAAGCCAGGAGACGTTGCTTACTTGTTTGTGTCTCGCCTTTGACTTCGCGTAGTTTTATTTTCCGTGCTTTGCCAGCTTTGCTCTCATTCAATCCAACTTCAATCGCCCGCTGCGTCCCTTGTGAGCCTGTGTCTTTCACTTTCAACTTTTGACTAAACTGCTCTGACAGTTCCTGATCCGGGCTTTGCTCAATCACATTTCCCACCGGTTGCTCTGCACCAGCAACATTGCCGGATAACTCCTTAAAAGGTGCTTTGTGCGAGCGCCAGTCTTTATCCATCCATCCACGGTGCATGGCCCGAAGTTCTTCAAAGCTGACCTCTTTGGTCGGGTTCCTATAATCAGGATATACTGCTTCAAGATTGACAAAGACACGCTCTCGTCGTCCGGTTCGAGGATTTACCGCTTCCCTTACATGATGATCTGGAACTTGTTTTGCTTGCATCGTTTCTGTGACAGATAGATTTGGATTTGACTGAATACATGAAAACGTAAACCGAGATACGGTACATGCCACCAATTAGTCCTGTGATCGTAAATATATGGAATTTCAAGAAAGGGTGACAAAACAGTGAACATGAACTCACCTCATCCCTGAAGATCGGCATCTTCTCCTTCGGAGCAGCCTTCTTTCCTGCCTTCAAGGTCTCCCCGGCCCACGGCTTCGCCTCCACACTGTTCTCCTTACGTCTCTCGTGCATCGACCCAATGCTATCCCATCCCTTGGTCTGTCCTGATACAGCGGGCTGGCTTACTGCCGAGTCGGCGTCCGAAAAAATAGCCATCTTGGGCTTCCCAGACTTCGTCCGCGGGGCAGCCGCAGCGGCAGGAGCGGGTCTTTGAGCTTGCGTATCGGCAGCCGGGGCTGCAGACAGAGAAAATGGATCAACCTTGGCAGCCAGTGCAGGTCGCACCGCGGGTAAAGCGGGTGATGATGGTCCATTATCCTGCGTGCGTTGCTCGTACCGCTTCTGGAACTCGCTGTATTTGCGGATCAATCGTTCAGTTGGTCGAGCTTCGCGGTCAACTCCCAGTCTATACACTTCCTCAGCTTGAGTCCAGCGTCCTGCGCCTTCGAGCCAAGCGGCGAACTCTTCATAAAAAAGAGCTAGTCCTTCACCGATATGGTGACGCGCCAGAAACGCAAAAGTCTCGCGCGGAGAGTCTGAAAAGAGCCTGATATAGTGAAGCCATAGCCGCAGATAGCGGGGATCATTCTTGTAGTGAGTTGAGGAGAGGAATGCCCTGACGGCGCGTTCGAGTAGAGGAAGAAGACCGGACTCGGCGGTCGCTTGTGCAGAAGGGTATGCGTTCAGTGTCCATTTCACGTAGCGGTCATATATATCAAGCGGGTCGTCTGAGTCGTCAATAGCCTGCAGTTCTGCCTCGTACTCCTGTCGAATGGCATCATTCAAAGTCCTGGTTTCGTTTGGTGATGGAGCCGCGAGTTTGTCACTAGGATCTCTGGGTGAGAAGATGCGAGCAAGCTCTTTGGCTGAGCGTCCCCCTGGTAATGATTGAATGTTCTCCTTCTGATTCTCGATGATATCAAAATTGATGAGATCCTCGGAGGCCGCCATGGCGGCGACAGATAAACAAGCGTGCGGCCAAAGGAATTGTTCTGGGGTGAGTCGTGAAAATATTCGTCAAGGGCACAGAGCCGTCAATCACGGCTTGAGTGCGTCAGTTTGCCGATTGGGTAAGTCGAAAAAGTCGTCAGTCGATGGATTGTCGAGCAAGGTCGAGATAAAAGTTGAGGTCGAGAACTACGCAAGTTTCCGTTTATCGATAAACAGCCCCTTTCGGTTGCCCTGGCTACTGATCACGTGCACGCTATCCTATACTTGGTAATATTCGAAGGACGGCCTCGCCTCTGGGAAGCTGCAAATTTACTAGACAAAGTCTCAGATGAAATAATGAAAGACTTATAGATATTTGTGGTTTTGGAGGCATTTGATAGTCTGTAAAATGATTAGGAAATATTGATAAACTGAGTGCGCAATGACACTCGGATGTCATGTCGCAGTAGCAGGCGTCTAACTAGGATTCTCCGCCTCCGCGAACGTTGAAGCATCAAACCTGAGCCAACTGAACTCGTCACCTTGAAGTGAGGAATTCTCACCTTGAGACAATTGTTGCGCCTTCTTCGTTTCTGTAACATATTTTATGGTCCAGCAGACTCGATGCCACCACGATCCCGCAATGTGACGTCCAGCGCCGTCTCCGAATCCTCCCCTCAAAGTCCGAGAAGAAGCGACCCAACGAAGAACAGAAAGCGAGACATTGACGAGCTGCAAGAGCAGAGCTCTCCGCTGAGGAGATCCAAGCGCTTCAAGTCGACCGAGGCATTGAGAGCTTCGCCAGCCCCGGGCAAATCGGAAATCATCGACGGTCCAGCTACTGCCGATTTGGGGCAAAAGAAGCCGGGAGTGTCTCCAAAGAAAGAGAAATCTAGAGTTTCGGTAAAGGAAGAAGTCGAGGAAGAGATTGAGATAACCGTTGATACGAAGGTGGGAAAGAGGAGTCAGGCAGAGCCAGACAACGCAGACGAGACCACTACAGTGACGGGAAAGATCTCGAGAAAGAGGAAGACCAAGCGGGAAAAGGAGCTCGAGATGCTTCCTCTGAGGGCCAGAACACAAGGTGTGCGCATGTGCGTAGGGGCCCATGTCAGTGCCGCAAAAGGTTGATTCCTCCTCTGTTCACTCAACACGCATTTCCTGGCAGGGCTAATCATATTCATGACGTTAGGAGTTTTCAATGCCGTGCATAACAGCATGCACATCGGGTACTATAAGCAGATTCTGGCCGATTGAGTGGGGATTTTGGCTGATGTACCCTCTAGTGGTAATTCATTTGCCCTCTTCCTGAAGTCGCAGAGGAAATGGGAGAACCCTCCCTTGCAAGATGATCATCGAGATCAGTTCCGTCAGATGTGTCTGGAACACAAGTATGACGGCGCGAAGTAAGCACACATAGTCATCGTACTCTATTGATCTGACAATACTGACCAGGCACAGGCACATACTCCCCCACGGCTCATATCTCGTCAACCTAGCCCAAGAGGACAAGGCCAAGGCCAAGCAGGCATACGATTCATTCCTAGATGATCTCCGCCGCTGCGAAGCGCTTGGAATTACTCTCTACAACTTCCAGTAGGCTCAGATCATCACCGAAAATACCAATCCGGCCGTTCACTAACTATCCTCTAGCCCCGGAAGCGCCAACCAAAGCAGCCTCTCTGACGCCCTCTCAAGGCTCGCCAAGGCCTTGACCAACGCCCTTGAAGCCACCTCAACCGTCGTCCCCGTCCTGGAGACAATGTGCGGCCACGGCACCACAATCGGCGGCTACCTCCCCGAGTTCCGGGACCTCCTCGCCCTGATCCCACGCGAGCACCACTCCCGTATCGGCATCTGCATAGACACCTGCCACAGCTTCGCAGCAGGGTACGACCTCTCCTCGCCAGCCGGCTACCAGTCCTTCATGAAGGAATTCGAAGACCAAATCGGCCTGCAGTACCTCCGCGCCCTGCACCTCAACGACTCCAAAGCCCCGCGCGGCAGCAAGCGCGACCTCCACGCCAACATCGGCACAGGCTTTTTGGGCCTCCGCGCCTTCCACAACATCATGAACGACCCGCGCCTCGAAGGCCTCCCCATGATCCTCGAGACGCCCATCGACCGCCCTGCCAAAACAACACCCACCACCAAGAAGGACGAAGCGAGTGACGCCGAGGCCGACCCGGAAGCCGGCTTCGACTCCGACCCTGAACAGACCAGCAAGAAAAAGACCCCCAAGCGGATCAAATCCAAACCCACCGGCGCGAAAGCTCTCGTCCCGGACCCGGGCGTCTGGGCCCGCGAAATCGCCCTCCTCGAGTCCCTCATCGGCATGGACCCCGACAGCCCCGGGTTCAAGGCCCTCGAGGCACAGCTCGCCGATGAGGGCCGCGAATTCCGCGCGAAACACCAGGAGCAGTATGAGCGGAAACTGGCGGCCGAAGAGAAGAAGAAGAATAAAGCTGCGGGGGCGGGGAAGGGCCAGAAGACGGTGATGGAGATGATGCAGACCTCGGGGAAGAAGAGGAAGGGGCCTCAAAAGGAGGTTGAGAGCGAGAGCGAGAATGAGCTAGAGAGCGAGGATGAAGGATGTCAGAGCCATTGATTACCGCAGTTTGACCCTGGCTCTTGTATACTATACTACGTGACTATAACCGAAGAACGAATGGCACTACGCAGGATGATGCTATCTGAGAAAATGATGGCTGGAGATAATGCTGCCGTTACTTGAACTCTGATAGAGCGAGGTATCAAACAATATCACGTTGCGACATGGGTATTGTCATGCGAGATCTCAAACTAACTAAGGAATCAAGACCAATAGGCCAACTCGGAGGATATATAGACAGCATTGTCAAAGTAATCATTGGTATCACTCGAAAACGAAAACAGAAACATCCCCTCAGCATAGGATGTCAATTGCAATATGTGCACGAGCTATTCGCAGCTCGATCATCTATACCTTCCCATGAGTTCGGTGACAGAAATTCTAGTTGATGTCCACCCTGTATGTCAATGACGCTGCTCTGGACCATCCAAGCACCGCCGTCTTCCTGTCCCGCTAGTTCCAGACTGACAGGAGGGAAGACTCGCAGGATACGCCTCGGACACAGGCAGAAGCCGAGAACACAGACTTGAAACCAAACCAGTGGCTTCGATGAAAGCGTCGTACAATCCAAGTCGCTCCTGGTCAAGGTCTTTCTCCCGACACTGCCCGGTCGGTGGACGGCTGCAAGTTCCCTCCAGAGCTGGGGCCTCGTCCCACCCGAGGCGGAAATTGGGAGTCGGCGGTCAGGACTACGGGCGGTGCGGACTTGAGCGGAGACGGACCGGCCAGACGCGGGGAGAACGGTCGACTCTCATTATCGCTCAGATTCCCCGTAGAAATTGTGAGTCCATGAATGTTGCTACTGGCCCCGCTGGCCCGCACTTGGAACGAGCGCCGATCGCCAATCAAGCCATCGACGGGAGCGAGGTTGTCAGCTGTAGGCACTTGCGACACCGGAGTGACGATGCTGGTTTCCGGATCGCTAATTCTGTGATACGTTCCACGCGAACGGGAACGAGCACGACCGGAGTCGTCACTTTCCGAGTCCAGGTTCGGGCTGCGCTCCCAGGTGCCTCGTCGTGCCTCGGAACGCATCTTGGAAATCTTCATGTAGTTGTAGCAACCAATACTGGCAATGGTAATAAGCAAACCCGCAATATTGACCGCGGTCAATTGGTCATGGAACACGAAGCCTGCTGCACTGATCGTAATGACTTCCTTGAAGATGCCACAGATACTTAGGGTGACGACGGAGGAACGTTTCAGTAGAGCAAACTCGGCTGAGATCATGCAAAAGGCCAGCACACCGGGGAAGATTAGCAGGAAGACGGCAAAGACGCCGCCATGAGTCTCTGACAGAGCGGCAAAGCCGTCGGCGATCTTGGCAGGGCCTTCAACGGTCAGAGCGATGATAATCAGCGAGAAAAACATGACGGGAGTGAGGAAGAAGAGGGTGGAGAAGGGGTTGGAGGTAGCCGGATGCCTTAGGAGCAGAATCTGAGTCAGTCCCCAGCGGAAACCTGAAAAGAAGGCGGAGGCGATGACTAGAGCGAAGCCCACAGCATTGAAGGCTGTTTCTCCGGCGACCATCATGACGACGCCGACGGTCATGGTGGCTATGATAAAAATCAACTTGACGGAGGGCGTCTCCAGTCGGAAAATGAAAGCGAAGAGAAGGACGAAGGCGAGAGCGGAGGATTTGCACATGGTGAGGAAGGTGAGGGAAATGAACTTGAGGGACATGTTGCCCAGCCCGATGTCGAGCGACGTCGCTGCGCCGCAGGGAACGAGCCGGGTGAGGTAGAAGAGTTTGGTGAGAATGGGAGTCGACTCGGAGGCATCATGACTGTTTCTGAACGGTGAACCGGACGAGGTGGACGAAGGGTGTCGCGGGCGCAGCGCTGGGATCAACCAAAGAATGAAGGACGCGAGACTGAACTGCACGAGCATATGCAAGCTAGTCGTAAAGAGAGGAAAAGGAAACACAACACGGTCTTCTGAGAACATCCATTTATTGTACTAGTTGACCAGAGGAAAAAAGAGTCAGTATGCAAAGTCCCGAGTCGGCTTCTCCCCGCAAAAGGCAGGGGTCAGGGATGATGGGATCACTTACAACGGAGATCGACAAGGAAAAGAAGTACCACAAGAGGATGAGACACGCATTGACAAGCAGTCTTTTGACGACGTTCCGATCTGCTAAACCCATCGAGAGGATATCATATCGGGAGGACTTGACATCAGCTATGCGAGCATCCAATTGCCTCCGTTGTTTCCTCCGTCGGCGTCTCTGACGTCGTTGTTTCGCTGTGAGGCCGGTTTCTTCATCATCGTGGAGCTCATCGTCAGAGCTCACATAATCCATCTCCACACTTTCTGCGATTGAAGACAGATCGGAGACGTCTGCGTCATCGGCCGTCAAGGGTTTCTGTTCGTCGCGCTTGTGGTTGACCGCCTCGCCAATGGCTCTGGA